AATGCAATAATAATAATTCCTGATCAGTTCGAGTGACGACGAAATAAATCGAATAACACAACTTATAATATTAATTAAATTACATCTAATTAAATAATAATAATAAGTCTAAACAGATATGTTCAGCGATACACAATAATAATATTTACATATTAATAAGCAAATAATCAATTTAGACATTTAATCACAACAACAACAACAACAATAAATATAATAATAATAATAATAATAATAATAATAATAATAATAATAATAATAATAATAATAATAATATAAACAAGCAATAATAATGGCAATAATAAATCAATAAATAATCCTAAATAATTCTAATTGAAACGGGGCATTACAGAATAGTACCTATATCAAAGTGGGTTTTAAATTCACTGGGTATAAACTATATCTTCTTCATGGTTATATAGATATAGGTGCAAGCATTTGTGGTGCACATCCTTTCGTATTACCCATTGAAAAATGGGAAAATGCTAAACAAAAAATAACTGCATAAGTTGCAATAAACAAGTAATTACTTTAGAAAAATTGGCTTATAATGTCACATGTTTAATAGCAGGAGAATAAATTTATAGTTCCTACTATATACCAACACGATACGGGAGTAGACCTTTTAATAGGTAATAACTTCTTAAAATTATATAGACCATTTGTCCAAGAATTAAATTATATAGTATTACACTTGAATGAAGTACAAGTTTATATAACAATAGTGCAGAAAGCTTAGAGCTTTGCATCTAAAGAATTTATGACAAATAACGCCAAACTACGAAAACGTGGTGCGGTTACAGAAATAAAAATGAAAAACATTGCAATAACAAATTAAACTAAAAACCCAGAAAGAGTTTTTATTCGAACCATGCAATGTAAAAGAATAATGGACACCTTAATATTCAAACATCAAATGCTTTATATGTTATCTTTAGAATATTGTAAAAAAGCATTAAATAAAATAATGAGTGAAAATCCGTTAAATAAAATGCTTAAAAAAAGCATAAAAACTCAACTTTACATGCTGAAATAAAATTAATTGACCCTTTAAAGGTTATAAGAGTCAAGCCAATGTGTTATACTCCTCGAGATAGAGAAGAGTTTAACATACAAATTGAAGAATTACTAAAAATTAATTTAATTCGACCTAGTAAATCCTCACATAGTAGTCCAACTTTTCTAGTAGAAAATGAAGCTGAAAAACGAAGACAAAAAAGACGTATGGCTATTAATTATTAAAAATTAAATAATAATACATAAATGGATGGGTATTTTTTACCTTAGAAAGAAGAACTGTTTCATTTAATTAAAAATATGAAATGGTTTAGTATGTTCGACTGTAAAAGTGGATTTTGGCAACTCCCTCTGAAAAAAGAAAGTAGACAGTTAACAACATTCAGTTGCCCAAATGAACAGTTTGAATGGAATGTTGTTCCTTTCAGGCTAAAACAAGCTCCTGAATTATTCCAACGGAGAATTGATAATGCTCTATGTTTAAAAGACCCGAGCAACAAATTTAGTAAATTTTGCACGGTGTATGTTGATGATATTATTTGTCTTCAGCAAAACTGAACAAGAACATTATAAGCATGTTATACAAGTACTAGAACAGTGTCTTAAAGAAGGAATCATCCTTTCTGAGAAAAAGGCAAAAATTGCTCAAACTAAGATTAATTTCTTAGGACTTGAAATTGAAAATGGAAGTCTAACTATAAACCGCATATCATGACAAAAATTTCTGAATTTTCTTCAGCAATAGGAAATAAAAAGCAATTACAAAGGTTTCTTGGAATCTTAAATTATGTAGAAGGCTACATAGCTAATTTGGCAGCAATATGTAAGCCTTTACAAGCAAAATTATAAAAGGATGTCATTTTTACTTGGTCACCAAGTGATACAACATACGTAAAAAAAATAAAGAAAAAACTCAAAATTCTACCCACGTTATATCACCCTCAAGAAAATGATAAATGAATTTAGAAACAGATGCCTCCGACTCTTACTGGAGTGCAGTTTTAAAAGTAAAAACAATAGACTATATTGAAGAAAAATTGTATAGATATACTTCAGGAACTTTTAAAGATGCTGAAAAGAATTATCATAGTAATGAAAAAGAATGGCTAGCAATCTTACGGGGCATCAAAAATTTCAAAATATATCTTACCTCTAATAAGTTTTTAGTAAGAACTGATATTTTATTAGAAATGAATTTGAAGGAGATTATAAACAAGGTAGATTGATTAGGTGGCAATTACACCTAAAACACTATCAATTCGATGTTGAACACATAAAAGGTGATAAAAATTATCTTGCTGATTGTCTAACAAGGGAATTTGCATGTATTTGATTGAAGAAACAGACACATGAACAAAAAAAATTGCAAAATCAAAAGCAAAAAAGGACCAGAATGGATCTTCAAGTTGAAGAATTTTTATTTAAAATCATGCAGAAGGAGCATGAATTGGAAATCTTAAATCAGAAACTGAAGATAATGCAATTGAAAAATCAGACAGAGAAGGTAAGCCTTTCAGAGCCTGATAATAAAAGCGAAGCCAAAACCACAATCGAACACAAAGACCCTTTGGTGAAAGATCAAAAGACCTAATCAACCTTTATCGAGGATGAAAGGGCACCTAACTGGT